CGGACATCACACCTTTCTTCGATGAAGCGCATGTTATTCGCACCACCCAACACACGGAACAACTAAGAACTTTGGAGGCACTGGAAATATTTAAAGCCGATCGTAAATCCGCATGCATTAATTTCAAAGAAGAAATAAATCTCTCTGCAGCATGGCAATTTTTAATTGACGATAAATCATAATATAGTTTATAAGACAAGTTTTATGACGTAATGCACACAATGATTCCCCATTGGTAGAAAATTACATTTGAAATAACAAGTGGATTCCTTCCGTTTTCGGAATTTTTTCGAAAAATAGCACGTTACGTTTTTTCAAAAACATTCGAATTAAAGAATCCGGTTATAACGAAAGATATAAAGAAGTAAGCCTGAAGAAGATCCCAGGAGGGGAATCGAAAACGTTCGCCGATTTTAAAGAATTTCGCACCGGTTAATGGTTAAGGGTAGGCAGTTGTTGGTTGTGAAGTTATACAACCCAGTGTGGTAAGAAAGCATATTAATTAAGCAATTGTAATATACGAGGAAAGTTTCGAATCATTTCTTTCTATTAAAAACTCAACTACTGCAACAAAGAAAGTTTAGGAATATTGGAAAAACACTAACTATACATATGATTAACTTTTGAGTCTAGAATAAACAAACTTATACAAAAACTCACAAACTTGTATGCATTAATCTTAAAACAGATTAAAATATATTTAAAATTTCAATTTTATTTGATTTCAAATTTCTTAACATTTCATACTTCATTAAAAATATCATAAATTGTATATTCGAGAACATAATTAATTTTTGTAATATTTAATTATAGAGTTTTAATTTGGATTACTTAAATTGTTATATCATTACTTAATAAAGATTAAAAACTTACAGTTTATGAAGAAAATTATAAAATAATTTATTCTAGTAGAAATAATGAAAATTAATTTTTTATGATTATCAATTTGAAAGTAATAAATAATTTAAACCAAAAATTTAAAAAGGAAACCCTAAAAAAAATATATATATATATATATGTAAATAATTACATATTCAGTGTTATTATCTAAAATATTATAACAAAATATATTAATTTAATATTTAAAAATTCTTAAATGTTTTATTTTAAATAAAATTATTCACTTATTAACTAAGAAATTGAAAAGAATGTTTTAATAACGATGTATTTGAATGATTACTTTCAAACAGATCATTAATTTTGATCAAAAAATGCATGTTCATGACCCTTATTCTTAAAGCACGAAATTTAACGTTTTAAATACTTATTTACTTATTTGGAGTCCATAATCTTATCGTACGATCCCTCGATCCTGTTATAATTCCTCCTTCTGGATAATATGCAGGAGCAACTGCTCTAACATCATCAGAATGGCCAAGGAGAGTACATCTTAACTTATAGAAACCAGCCATCTTACTCGCCGGTTATACGTGCAACGACGTTACACCCCCTATCGGAGCCGTCCTCTACTAACAATTCAATTTTCTGATATCGATAGTTTTTTATTTTATTTTACTTACTCCCCCAGTTGTCATGAGTATAGGGGAGTTCCAAAGTGATTACAATAAGCAAACTTTACTGCATTTGTTTAGTGACATTAATACATTCTATTATAACTGAACTGTGGTTTATAGCAATTTTTGAAGTAAAATTATCGTTATGGATGAAAAACATTNTTTGTTATTTTATTATTATTATAAATATTATTTAAAACACGGTAAAAATAAATTTTTCGTTATAAATTTTATTTTATATATATAATTTAAATTTTACTTTTTGCGCATCGTATTATTAAAATAATTTTTTCTTTAGAAAACAAATCATATATAAAAAGCTGGCGCTCTTTTCGTTTGCAGAGAATGTTACTCAATTATCTTAGAATTGCTATGATACCAGCAATCAAATTTTTTGGGATGCTGAAGAGGTATCCAGGCATCTCCTGAATAAGTCTCTATCCATTCATATCCATCAAAAAATCCCATCTCTCCCTCCTCATCAAGCACCATCAGTACAAAAACCCGTCTCTTAGTATTACCGTCATCATAAGGCGAACGAAAAGTATGCAGCACTTTAGCTCAGAGCACTGTAAGATTGGTTAGAGATGTTCCGATTCTTTAACTGACAGATGTAGTAGTGATTCAAAATAGGGACGTCTCGCTGAACGATATCGATATTTAGATATTATTGAAAGAAAGTATCGATATCTTAATGTATCGTCATATGAGTATGCTATCTACCGACTGGAAGAGCTTATGTTTAATATTCATTGAACCGTGTCTTTACTCGTCTTTTCGTGTTTTTAAACAATTTTCTTACTCTGATCTGTGAACAGTCATTGTTACTGTACAAAGAGAGAGAAAAATTAAGTGGCATGCCAAGGGTTTGCGCTGCCCTGGTGGACTTTGAGTTTGCCGACCTCACGAAAAACACATAATACACATCAAACATACCTGGAAAAAATTGAAAAAAAACGTAGAGTATAGGCATAGGAAAGCTATGAAATGTTTTTTTTTTTTTTTTTAAATTAGAAGACCATGTTTATTTTTGAAACGAAAAATTTACAAAATTATTTTTCTTGCTTTTCTGTTAGTAAAATCTTCGATAACATTGTCGAAGGCTATTTCATCTGTCAATTATTATTCTATAATCATCGGCTGGATGTCCGAGCGGTCAAGGTGGCAGCCTGCAATTCTGGGGAATCAGGATTCAAATATGGACGGGTCGAAAAATCCCTAGGAATTTTTCAGGGAGTAGTCCGACCGGATATGTCGGCCTCCGTCTCTCGTCACCCGGCCATCTCATTGTAAACCTGGCCGTTAATCCATAATGGGCTTTCTAAAGGAAGCCTTCTTAGTGCCCACAGTGCGGAAAGACTTAAAAAATATATAAAAATATTAGTGCAAGATGCTCATAACAGTTCTTAAGTAATTCTGTATTAGCGACATTAGCAGCAATTATGAGAAAAATCCGCAGTAGTACTACAATATCAGCGTTTCCAAGACTATATTTTTTGAATAAATTGCAAAAGTTCAAGGGAGTCTTCCTTGTACAGTACGTCTTTGTTTCGTCTTGCAGGAATAAAATTGTGAAATCTTTTTTTCCTCAACAATGACTCTTCCTTGTCAATGTCATGGTGATCTATTTGACATTCACATTTATCACGAAAAAGATTTTACAGAGTAAGGAAGGAATATTTCTCAACGAGTTCACGAAGCTATTGAAATCTCAAAGTTATTTCTTGGATCACTCCGTCCAGAGTCTCTTCTCAATACAGTTTTATATCGCAATTCACTATCTAATAATTCTTCACCAACCATTTGTTTCTTCTTTTTATTTCGACGCTGATGCTCCATGACTATCCCTAGATCGTCACAAATTTCTTTATCATAGACCACTGTATTATTCACTAATTCGTCTTTTTTTTTCATCTAGAAATGCTTTTAAAGCTTTGGGATTTATATCACGATGTATGTTCTGTTGGTTGGAGTTAAGTCTGTGTGGCGTTAATTTCTAAAAGAATGGATCTTCACAGACTGAGAAAGTACAGAAGAAAAACAATTGCAACGCACTAAGCAGCATGCGCAGGCCTCTCTGCCCTAGTAAATGTATTTTATTCTTCATCAGTTAACTGTTCTAAAACATTTAAGATTTTTTAACAATTAGTCCTATATGTGTTATTAAATGTGGAATATCCTCAGGAAGAAAAGATTTGTTGATAATTATATAAATTATGGAAATGTACAGGAATGACGAAACAAGTGTTGGGACAGGACAAGGTGTTGTATATTTATAGTTACATAGCATATTTACAAAACTTTATGGGTTAATGCAGGAGTAATTATCCAATCTGAACAATGACGAATTGCTTCGAGTAAGCACTGACAGAGTAACGTAGTTTAGACAGTCGCTTTACTGCTTGTTCGCCGAATGCGCTCATAATTACCATAACTTTTTTTTATTGATCAACTAAACAGTTAAAGTGTCAGGGTGTCAGCCTATCACTCTGGAATACATAAAATCAAAAAACTGAAAAAAAAAATGAAAGACGAATTAAACCAGCATCTCGTTGAATGGTTATATGAAGATTAGAGATAAAGACGAGAGAAGTTTCTAAATTATTTGCCTGCAGTGTGACTTAGTTTCTCACCAGTTTAACGAAGACTTTACTTGTTAGCATTTACAGGTTTTTTTTTTTTATAAAAAGCATCTCTACCTTCAAAATTAAGTCTTGTCATTTTATATACAAGGTCACGTTCCCTAATAAATGACAAAAAGTTATGTTTAATATAACATAAAATTGCACGACTAATTTTTATTTTTTAAATAAAAAGTTACTTTAAAAGATAAATAATTTTAATGCTTTTAACTCTTCGTTACTTAAAAATGCATGCATTTTATCCTTCCCAAAAATAACTTTTTTTTTTTTAGTATTAAAAATTAGTTAATGATTTTCTAAATAAAAATTTAGAAGCTTCTGCAAAATATATTTTCTCAATAAGTTCATTAAAAATATCTTAAATTCTTACAAAATAATATCAATTAATTAATAATAATAATAAAATTTTCATATAAAATAGTTTAAATATAGCTCAAAGCTTTCATAAACTGATTATACTGTATTTTAAAAAAATTTACGTCTTTTTTAATTTCAAGTTTCTTTTAAAGACACTTCAATATTCAACATGACTTAAGTTGAACGAATACAATAATAAAAACATCCTACACAACTAAGTATTATTTTGGTACTGCATTAAAAAGATTAGAAAAGGTTTATCACCCCATTGACTCGTTGTATAACACCAAAATTCCATAAATAAGTCATCAGTTTCCATTGTTGGAAAATATATTGGTGGCATAGAAATCAAAATGGAGAAAATATTCTTTAAAGAGAAAACTTATATCTTTAATGCTGGTTCTTCACTTAGCTCAATTTTAAGGTAATTCAATCGCCTTCCGGTTAGAATTGCTTTCAAGTACTTAGGCAACAGACTGAGATAATAGCGAGGTTGCGGCCGAAGTTCTCATTATCTCTAAAACTTGAACGTCGAACGTCGAGCGCCGCTATAAGATAGCGGCGCTCGACGTTAGACGTTCACGTTTTACAGATGAAAACTTCGGCCGCAACCTCTCTAATGTATATTTTCGCCCGGCGATTCTGCGTAGCCAATCAATACGTACCATCTATAATTCCAAATATACGTGACATCATATTTTTATTATATCCAGTTTATTAGCAATAATTACATAAAATTATCCAAAGTTTTATTATAGTTATAAATTTAATTATTAAATAACGCTTCAAGCCCACAACGTAAATTGAAATTAAATTGATTATTCAAATTAAATACGGCTATAATAAATTGGAGGGCTTATTACATCAGTGAATGACTGGAACAAGTATACTAAATTTTTACGAAATAATTATCCACAATCAAGTTTTAGAATGCATTTCGGGTACAAAAATCCCTCATCAGCCTGCATACAGTATAAAACACAAGACTCCATCGAGACAATAACACAAGTAGTAATTCCACACTAAAATAATTTTTCTGTATAAATACAGTGCACTGTTTATATAATATTTTAAAAAAATCAATAAATATCATTCTAAATAATTCTAAAAAATTAAATAAGTATCATACAATAGAATTTTAATGATGTATTGTCGTTCTACTGTCTACTTATTGATATCGTTATTAAAGGTTAAAGCGCCTGCAATCGGGTTTTCTTTACACAATTTAGTCGCTCCGAGGAAAAACTAAATACATTACTGTATTATATTGTAGTGAAAATTGAAATATAATGTTAATGAATTAACCCATAGTCGGGCTCATACGCTTTCAGATATTTCGAGCTGCCTCCTGCACTTCAATCTTTCATCACACTACGCCCAAGAGCCTGACTATGGTACGATAGGTATTAGATTGCATACAGAGCCGGTTAGAGATTTTGCAGTACAGTACATAGTTCTAGTAGAACAGTATTAGTCTTTTATTCATTTTTTAGTTTTTACATCTTTCAGGCTGCAGTCTTCCTGTTTCCGAGCCCTAGGCATATACCCGGTGTGTGCCTAAAATAAATAAAACACATAAAACAAAAAATAAAAGATAAATTACTTGTAAAATAAAATTATCTATTATTTTACAAGTAATTTATCTTTTATTTTGTTTTTGTTTTTCTCCTTTAAATTCAGTCATTATAGTTTGTAGTTTATTAAGAAACATGCAAATTTGTGAATTTAAAACTTACTTTCAAACTATTTAGTTTGCATAATCTTATAATATTTATGCCTACGTTTATGCATATTTAACATGTTAAATATATATAAATTATTCATGTTTAAATTCGAAAGTTGTTTTAGAATATTCTCTACACTTGTTATATCTAATTACATGAATGAAAGTTTCAATTTTCTTAAAAACAAAATTTAATTCATTT